AGGCTGATAACGGAGTCAATGACGGCTGAGGCTGGAGTGGTACAGGTCCACAGCCACGTGATTTCAGTAACAGTCATTTATTACCCACCTCTGAGTGACCTGATGTCTTGGGACTATTAGGCAAGTCCTTTTGGAACATATGACAGACCCCTAAGCTTCACCAACCCCAAAGCTATGAAATGGTGGATAGCATCTGGGGCCCGTGGCAGGTCTCCACTCTTCGCTGTAACCCACCCGACTCCCACCACGGCCATGTAAGTTCTTGATTTATGAATTTTTTGTTCTGCTGCTATAAAAACTTCATGAAATGGTTATACGGGATTTGAGGTAACTCGAATCTGTGCTGTGGGCCATGGTCACTACACTGGCTCCAGAATAAACCATTTCTATCCCCTCTGACAAATGTAATTACTTAGGCATTAGACCCGCTGAGGTGTCTCATCAATAAGTGCTCCCACAACACTCTTAAGACCAGGACAGAAGAGTGAACATGCCATCTCTCAAGGACTGACATGTCATATCATGAGTCTCACTGGGCAAAGCAAACAGCAGGTAACACCTAGCCTCAGAGGACATGAAGGTGAAATTCTACTGTATGCTCCAAACCCAGAGAGCAGAAGGGAGTGAACAGGGAGGAGCCTGTCATCACACAGAACCTCCCTTGTCACTGTTACCACACAGCAGCTACCCGTGTGGATGGTCACCTGGGGCGGTAGGTTCCTAGCTACACGGCACTGCAAATAAGCCACAGGTGCAAAGACCACGAGTGGCTACAGAACATTCTGCTGTGGGCAGAGGTGGATGGCAGACCCAAGCGCAGAGCCAGACAAAACCACCTGGGGAAGCCTGAGACTTGGTGAAAGAACTCAGAAGAGGCAAATTCACAACAACGCTAACAGTGGGTAAAGGATGTGTGCGGTGCAGAATACCCCGGGCACCCTTTGGATGTGACTTCCCAGCCAACATGGAGAGGCTTATCTCACTGTTCAAATTATGTCCCTGTACTTCAAACACTCTTTTCTTCTTGGTTTTGAGATGGGGCTGAGGCATGGAAAGCACTCGAACAGTGCCTGGGACATGGTTCGTGCCCAAGGAATGTCAACGTCAGTTCAAACCCTTCTCCAATAAACCCAAGAGAAATTAGCACCAGTGTTTTAACATAAGATGTAATACTAGCCCTTTTGATTAAGTGTCTAATCATGTGTCATTCTCTCTCTCTCTCTCTCTCTCTCACACACACACACACACACACACACACACATGATGTTCAGAGGGAATTTCATTTTGGGGAGGGGTGGCCATGTGCCATGCTTCATGTATAGGGAAATATGTATGTATATACATACATATATAAATGAGTTTCACATATTTACATGTAACGCTTTATGTTGTTCGGAGGGGGCAGCAACACTTAGTGCATGTCGGAGCAGCAGGATAGTGTGCCCCTCAGCAGCTCTACACGGCCATGAGAAGGCACACGGAGCACTCAGAAGTCCTACTGAGAATAAAATGTGAAAGCGAGCACACACCCAGGGCCCAGGGCAAGGTCATGGACGTTTTCCAGGTAGTAAACTGCTTATGATTTGCTACTAATAATTTTGTCAAGCAGAAATTCCAATAGATAAAAATGGGCATGCACAGCATGAGGGCTATGGTCAGTGCACTGCACTGTGTGCTGTGAACGCCACCTTTGTGAGCTGATGGCCTAGTTCAAACCCAGGAGCCACGTGGTGGAAGGAGGAGCCGACTCACAAGCTGTCCTCTGGCCTCCACACAGGCCGTGACGCTTTCATGCACCGCCCCCCCCCCAAGAAATATGTACGAATCTTAAATAAAAATAAAATGTAAAAGTAAAGGCATGGTAGGTCTTTCCATCTCTAGTGTCTTCCTCTGTCTCTCTTTTTAGTTTTGAAATTTTCGTTGTAGAGATCTTGAATGTCTTTGGTTAGGTTTATTCCTAATTAGTTTATTTTTTGAGGCTACTGAGAAAGGGAGGGTTTCCTTGGGTGCTTTTCCTGATCGCTTGTTGTTGGTATATAGAAAGACTGCTGAGTTTTGTAGGTTTATTTTGTAACCTGCCACTTTACTGAAAGTATTAATCAATTCTAACAGTTGTCTAGTAGAATTTTTGGGATTTCTTATGTACAGTATCGTATCATCTGCAAATAAGGATAATTTGATCTTTTCTTTTCCAATTATTACTCCTTTAATTTCCTGCTCTTGTCTTACTGCTCTTGCAAGAGTTTCAAGCACTATATTAAAGAGAAGTGGAGACAGTGGACAGCCCTCTCTGGTTCCTGATTTCAATGGGAATGCTTCCGGTTTTTCTCCATTTAGGATGATGTTGGCTACGGGTTTGTTGTACATAGCTTTAATTATGTGTTGAGGTATGTTCCTTTCAGATCAGCTCCTTCTAGGACTTTGGACATAAATGCATGCTGTGTTTTGTCAAATGCCTTTTGTGAATCTATTGAGATGACCATGTGGTTTTCTCTTTAAGTCCATTTATATGATTTATGACATTTATTGACTTACAAATGTTGAACCATCCCTACATCTCTGGAATAAAGGTGACTTGATCATGGTGGATGATCTTTATGATGTGTGTCTGTATGTGGTTTGCCAAGCATTTTCCTGGGTACCTTTGGTTTCTATGTTCATTAAGGAATTTGTGACACTGAATCGGGTCGCATCACACAGAAGCTCCGAGCTGTGAGGCTCAGAAAACTTTGCCATCAGCTTTTACACGGACTTGTTCCAGGACACGGTGGCCTACTCTAGATCATCTTTCACATTTTGAAATGAAAACCAGAAAATCAGTACCCAGAAATATAAACACCCAGGCACAGGAAGAACCGTCCAGTAAGGCAGTGGGAAATGCTCAGCTGAGGTAATGTGAGTTTGGTCAAACCTGCCTTTTGTTGTCTGTGAAGTCGAATCTGGAGGAACTAAAAGGCACATTCTCCAAGAAAAGTAAAACAGTCCCTAGAGACATGCGGACAGTGTCAGCCAAAATTCTCCATCATTTAAAAGTATTGCCAAGTAAACATTAAAACTATTTTCTCTAAGGCATCCTTTTGGCACAGTCTTTAAGAATGCTGGACTTTGTATTACTGATGAAGAAACTCATGCCTTCTCACAGCACTCCAGAAAGAAAGAAGGAAGCTGGTATGACTCTTTGGCATGAGAAAAATGATGCTGTAACTGAGCATTATTAAAATCAACTCTAGTGTGAAAAAATAAATCAGAGCAGGTACCCTAGGTACTTTTGATGGAAACCTAAGAAACGCAAAACAGTATGGTGGTTCCTCTTCCAACACCTAAAACCAGAACGATCCAGGCATTCCAACACTGGGTGTACAGCCAAAGGAAATGAAATCAGGGTGCCAAAGAGACAGGTGCGCTCCTGATCTACCGCAGCTCTGCTCCCACCAGCCGGGACGGGGCCCCAACAAAGATGCTCACCGACAGGTGAATCAAGTTTGGTACAGTGCCATGCAGCCCCCTGCGGCACGGTGGACGGCCAGGGGTCATTCATTCTGTTACGCAAAGATGGACAATGAACCTCACTCACAGGTGGACACTGAAAAGTCGGACTTCATTGTAGAGAGCAGAACCATGGTCAGCAGAAGACAGGCAAGGCAGGGAGGGGCAAAAGGGAGGGTAGATAAAGGGCACCAAGCACAGGCTGGGGGGACAGCACGGTGCTCGACAACTCCAGTGTGACGCTGACGGAATACTCTCATGCTCTCTCAAGGAGGTACAGACATTCAAAGGCTGCCATCATAAGGAAATGCTGTATCTGAAGAGATGGACATGCTAATTACCCTAACCTGACCACTACAACCTGTGGGCATGTGCTGGGTGTGGTGGTGCACACCTTTAATCCCAACACTCAGGAGGCAGAAGCAAACGATCTCTGTGAGACCAGCCTGGTCTACAAGTGAGTTCCAGGCCAGCCAGGGGTAGTACAGGGAGACCCTGTCTTAAAAACAAACAAAATAACTGTACATGTAACACATCTGATCCATAGACATACCATCCCAAAAATCAAAGGAAAGAAATCAAGGCATTGCTCCACATGTAACAGTGTCTCCCTAGCAGTACTGTCAACTCCCTCTAGACTAGAAGACCTGACTAGTAAAGGCAACACTTCAAAAGATCCTACTTTAGAATTGTTAGTACATTCATTGAAAATTTGTACTACACTGTAAAGCAAACTCTTTTTTCAAAAACACTAGACAAATTCACTACAATAAAACATACCTAACCAAAAAGAGCTTTAACATGTGAGTATCACAGGGCAGTGACCAGGATGGTAATGGTATGAACATCATGGGACGGCAACATGCGAACATCACAGGACAGGGAGCAGGACGGCAACATGCGAACATCACAGGACAGGGAGCAGGACGGTAACATGTTAACATCACAGGACATTAAGCAGGACGGCACATGCGAACATCACAGGACAGTAACATGCGAACATCACAGGACAGGGAGCAGGACGGCAACACGTGAACATCACAGGACAGGGAGCAGGATGGCAACACGCAAACATCACAGGACAGGGAGCAGGACGGCAACACGCGAACATCATAGGACAGGGAGCAGGACGGTAACATGCGAACATCACAGGACAGTGAGCAGGACAGCACATGCGAACATCACAGGACGGTAACATGCGAACATCACAGGACAGGGAGCAGGACAGCACATGCGATCATCACAGGACGGTAACATGCGAACATCACAGGACAGTGAGCAGGATGGTAACCCAAGGTAACAATGTCCCCACAGATCTAGGAAGCAGAAAGATAACGCTCTCTAGGACTGCGAAGGCAGAGCTGACTGTCTGTAGGAGGGTGAGCAGCTGGTAAGTCACACAGTACCAACAAGGACGGCTGCTGTTTTTAAATCCTGTGCCAATCTGCCGTCTATCACATGGTGCGGAGAAAACCCTGTGCCTGCAGCTTTCCTTTGGTCTCTTACTTACTTACCATCCACTCAGATATAATGACGTCCACTTTTTCTACAGGAAGACGAACTTCTTCAATCTTTCCTTTAATTAGTGTAACAGTATCTTCAAGTCTATTCAGTCTGGAAGTTATGATGAATAAGATTAGTTTGTTAAGCAGATTCTGAAACCTAGTCAAGTTACACAGTATTTTTTGCCAACTGTTTATATTATTTTGCTGAACAAATTGTTTATTTAAAGTGCCTTTAGCCTCTGGGCATTATAATTGGTGCTCAGTTACTCCACAAACGCCCCACAGTGTTTCTGGTTAATACGGCAATATGCCGAAACTCTAACAAGAACTTCAGACAGAAAAGGATTCTGAATTTTAAGAAGAATATAAGCCTTACTGCAGTTACTGTGTCTTTAAAACAAAGCGAAGGTGGGGACAGATGGACACCAACGACAGCCAGCTTCCTGGGATTAGTGTGTGACAGCGTGTAAGAACTAGTGTGCACAGCCACACGGGAAAGTTGATTTGGCATACAGTTCCAGGTCCCAGGATTCGAGCAGAATCCACGGAGGGAGTCGTGGGCTCCTCCTTCATTTTCTTATACGGTCCTAGACCACGCAGGGAGGGTGCCAATTGTGAGCTGGGCCTCCTACATCACTAACGTAGTCAAAGTGATCCCTCATGGACATGGCCACTTCATAAAGGCAATTACTCAAATAAAACCCTTTCAGGTAATTCTAGGCAGTGTCGAGCTGACAGTGCCTGACTAAGACATTAATCATGAACTATTTTTAAGCCACACGTGGTGGTACACACTGTCATCCGAGCACTTTGGAGGCTGAGGCAGAGGACTGCCTCAAGCTTGAGACTGGCCTGGGCTTTCTCCAAAAGGAAAAAAGATTATTTGTAACCTTGCCCAAGGTGTTTATGACATATTTTTACATTCCTGAATATTGAGGGTTAGCATACATTTTCAACCTCCCTTTCCTGCAATTTAAAACAGAATTAAAGTGATCATTTCATGAGCAAGCTGTAGATTAGGTTTATATCTAATTAAACTAAGTTCTCAATCCTCAGAGAATGACATTCAAATTACGTGGGAGTTTTTCCTGCATCAAAGGAGAGGCTCCCATCCGAGCATCAGCAAGGCATTGCTCAGACATCGAGTGTGCTCCTTTACGGGTGCATTTACCTAGGTGACCACCGTCATAAAGTGCTCCCAGGTCTCCTAAGACCCTCAGCTGCTCATTCTCAGAGAGTACCACCTGGGGGGTGGAGGAGGGTCTCAAGACAGGCTGCCTTTAAATTCCTGGTAACTGTCTCTCCGTCATTACAAACTACATTTTTTTCTGCAGTGTGACACAAAAGGAATCATCCTGAATGTGCACTTTCCTTCCTGGCTTCTTCACTGAGCAGGATACACCTTGTCACTGCTGAGTAGCATCCCTCATGTGCACAAACTGCAGCGTGACTACCCACTCAGCTGTGAGCGGCATTCTGCACTGTTTCTATCTGTAAGCATTTGTGTACAAGCACAACAGCTCTACATAATTTCTTAAAGCCTGTTGATTTGTTTTATATAGCACAAAACAATTTTATGATCGCAACAGCAGGCACGTGTGCACCTGCCAATCACTTCTGACCTGGATAGTTCTGTCAACTTGATACAATCTAGAGTCACCTGGAAGAGAGGCTCAGGGAGGGCAGTCTACACCAGGTTGGCGGAGGACTGTCTCGCTTAACTGACTCGGACGACCTGTGCACAGTGGGCAGCACCATTCCCCAGCAAGGGAGTGCATTCGTGCAGCACTCTTTCTCTCTCTACTCCGTCCTGTGGATGTGACGAGCTACTTCAGCTCCTGCCTTGACTACCCACAACACTGCACCCTGGACCCGACGCCAAGAGCCTTTCCTTCCTTGGCTGCTTTTGTCGGTTTTATCACAGTGACAGAAGTGAAGCCAGGACGGCCCTAACCAGGGAAACCAACCTGTAAACGTCAACGACAGAAGGTGTCATCACAATTACCAACTGCTATGCATGCACTGGCCACACGCCCACATTTCCTCCCTTCTTCTCCACATCAACACCACTGACCCAACACTGGAAAAACTTTATTGGAAAGACCATCGTCAACTAACTCTGGCACCTCTGTGGGCTTATTTTTGGACTTTGCACTAAGATGTATTTGTTTTTGAAATGCCTACCACTGCTTCTCAAGTACAAACACACACACAGACACACAGACACACAGACACACACACACACACCAGACACACAGACACACAGACACACAGACACACACACACACACCCCTTTCCTTAGTAGGGAGCCTCCGTATATAAAATGAACATTCCTGTTCAATCACCCAGGTGATGTTTGGCCCTGGACTCCTCTGATTTTTCTCAACAGGCCCTTGGGAAGGTAGGAGGAGAACAGGATTAACCCATCTCTGCTGGATTCTCTGGAGGCCACTGTTCACCTACAGTGTAATTCAGGTTATAATGTCACGATTGCTCTTTAGAAAGAAAGTCTTCAGTGGGAAGAAAGAAAGGATGAAGCAAAGTAATAAGCAGCTCACTGAGAGGGACGAAGATGGTTTTGAAAACAACAAATTAACACCAAACAAACAACAACAAAAAGTAAGAAAGGCTGGGGCGGTGCTTCGTGGTCACGAGCACTGGCTGCTCTTCAAAGGACCGAGGTTCAATTCCTAGCACCCACATGGCAGCTAACAACTGTCTATAACTCTAATTCCAGGGAATCTGAGGCCCTTTTCTGACTCTGTGGGCACTGCATGACATGGGTGCGCTTACATACATGTAAGCAAAACATTCATACATATAAAATAAACAAATAAAAATGAAGAGTATGCGGAATTAGGTTGGACTCTAGAAAGGCATTAAAACCCTTGTGGAGATACCTCCGTCAGAGCCATTAAGACTGGCCCAGGAACTTGGCAGACGCACTTTGGAAAGCAGTGTGGAAGTCTGCAGACAGATCTGCTGGGAAGAGCCCAATCCACTTGCAGAAGTCCATCCCATAGATGTGTTTGGAAGGGCACCTGGGTAAGGCGTCTGAGGCAGACCATCAGGGTGGTCCACGGACTGAGCCAGCAGGACTCTGAGGTGGGGACAGTGACCAACTCGTCCTGAATGATGGTTAGTTCCTATGTATTTAATTTCCTCTGTGATTTAGGCGTACTATGTAGATCACTGCTCATTTATATTTTATGTTTGTATCTATGTTGTATTTCATACAAAAAAGAAAAAAATGCTTCTATCTGAGTTCCTCAAGGACTGTTCCCAGTGCTGCGGCTGCTCACTCTAAGCTACCTAGAGCAAGCAAAGCTTCCAGTCTTTATGGCATTAGCAGCTGTGAGCACGTCAGAGAAAAAGAAAAGACCCGCTTCTTCAAGGACTAGACCATTCCCACTGCGTGCACACATCTCAGAAGGCTGTGTAGGAGGCAAGGCTGTTCTGTAAACACCCATCTGCTCAGGCTGTTCACACTCTGTAACAGGCTGTAATGCTGTTTGCATCAGCAATCACCCGGCTCAGAAATGTAACGGGAGATTATGACTCAAGAAACAAAGGAAGACACAGGCCCCATCATTCCCAGTAGTGTGGGCTGAAATTGCCACGCACACACACGTACAACATCAGCTGACTTCCCATTCATGAAAAACCTACAGACTGAATTTAGAAACTCAAGTGCTTATCAGTCATACTTTGAGCCTAAAAGAATCTCTTTGGCAACATCTGCTGAAAAACCAATGTAGCTGTAATCTACAGAAATATTTCATTGATAAAAAGAGCCTTTTAAAGCAGGTCTCTGAACTGAACCAGTAAGCACCGTAGCATCAAATTCATCTCAGAGCAGTTCTATCAGAGTAAATGCACTGTCTCCTTACTTCCTCTCTTCATCGTGACTGACATGGCAATGACATGTGGTCCATGGCCTCAGGAATCTGGTCAGAGAGAGAAGACAAAGAAAGGAACAGCCTCAAGGTACCATGGGAACACTAAGGTGGAGCCCCAGCTAATTCTGGACATCTGACGTCAGTCAGGATTCAGCATCACAAGGAAGGCTCGGGGAGAGGGGCCTGTTGCAAGCAACCAGAGCGTGTGGGGAGGAGAGAAGTGAGCGGTAGAGAAGAGGCAAAGGCCACAGTGGGAGGAGCTCAGGGGTGTGGGAGGGGTTCAGGTGATGCTTATGGAGCCAGTCCCTTAAGACAAAGAACAACCAGTCAAGCATGGGGGCGCAGCACTCGGGTGACGGAAGCAGGCAGACCTCTGTGAGTTCAAGGCCAGCCTGGTCTACATAGCAAGTTCCAGGCCAGCTGGGGCTACAGGAAGACCCTGTCTCAAAAAGACGCCCCCGCCGAAAAAAAGACTAGACAAGTGAATGATTACATCTGTAATCTCCTTTTGCCCAAAGTGATTTCGATACATACATGGTCAAGTTTTCAAGGACAGCAGAGAAATGCAGACAACACAGCACTGTGGGACTTCATACAGTGAACATTTAACCAAGTGAGCGGCACAGGGGGCACAGGACTGACAGTAGGTGGGAATACTACAGGCGTCAACGCACAAGGTGCGGTGCTAGGTTTTCGGTTCCACAGGCCGAAGTCCAATTACTACTTAGTCTCTTGTGCTGCCCAAACACATTGAAGTAGCAATTAAAAAGTGCAATAAATTAATAAATGCACAGAGATTCCGTAAAAGGTCAAAAAAACCCCAAAGATTCTGGTAATTGGGGGCAGAATAAAGGGAACGAATCATATCAACAGACCCTTGGGACCCAGTGTGCAGAGCACACCAGGTGGGCCGGAGCACTCCTAATGCAAACCCTGGAGCCTAGCGTTTCTGAGGTTTCAGAATGCCAAAGGGCTAAGAAATGACTAAGGATCTGTGCCCTGCCCAGGGCTCCCTCTCTACTGTCAGACCCCACACCCACCCCGAGTTCCTGCACTGAGCAAATCCAATCCTCTACTCATACATGTTAAGAAAAAGCAAGGCTCCTTAACTATGAAAGATGCATGCATAGCTCATTAGAACAGGTTAGGGGAAAAAAAAAAGCAAAATGCTCATCTCAGCCCTGGACACAGGACAGGGCTAGTGCGTGAGCACCCCACTCCTGCATGTGTTTACAGCCATGCAGCTGTACAATTACTCAGGAGCAGTGTTGTTTGGATTCAGCGATAACTCAGCCTCTAATATGGTGAGAACAAAATGAAAGAATCATCAGTCAAGCACACAGGGTTTTAAGGTCTTTCGTTTGGGGGACTTGGAACACACGATAGCCTAGGTACTGCAAAGTCATGAGGTGTTCACTCACCAGAAGAGTGTTCCCAGGAGTCTGTTATGTGCCAGGGGGGTAGGGCACATCCAGGGACAGAAAGAGAACTCCCAGACAAACCTGGGGGAGCTGGCGCTTTAGCAAACCTAAACTTCTACAGATTCGTCGTCTGAGACCTAAAGCTCTTAGGACTGCCAGGAAACATCCTAGAAAGCCAATGTAGACCTCTGACTGCAGGACACAGGTCATCTTCAGCTTCTCTTTCTGTGTCTAACCAATAAAAAACATCCTCTGTAACTGAAGGTGAGTTCAGCTTCCCCGCGTCTGACTGATCATGAGCAACTATAGCCACGGAGACTCAGTTCTCCACTCTAACCCATCTACGAGATTTCTCTTTGAATTCAGAGAAAAAAAATGTCAAGAATTTCTGCTAGTATATCTTGTGACTGCTGCAAAGCTTTTCTGTCCTATTTTTAAAATTTTACTTATTTCTTAGAATTTGTGTGTGTGGTGGGGGACTCGACGCCCGTGTGCACAGGTGAGGTCAGCACTGGTGTCCTCCACCACTGCTCACTTTTGGGCAAGGTCTTTCACTGAACCTGGAGCTGGACATTTCAGTTGGACTGGCTGGCCAGTTACCCTTGGGGATCTTCCTGTTTCTACCCTGCCAGTGCTGGGGTTACAAGCGTGCACCACTGCACCCAGTTTTTACAGGGGTGCTGGAGATCCAACCTTAGGTCCTGTTGCCTGCACAGTAAATACCCCACTGAGCCACCTCCCCAGTCACCTCCTAGCTTGAAAATAATTTTTGTACATTGCTTCAGTTCTATTCAAAAGCCTTCACTGACAGTCTGCAAGGTGTTAGGGATGAAATGCTAACAGAGAGAGCTCTGTCCTGGAGTGAGGCTGTGCACATTAACAGGACACTCCCTAGGCTTTTGACTTTATGGTGCTGGGGTCAAACCCAGGGCCTTATGTATGCTGGGCAAATGCTTGCCCACTGAGCTACTCCCCCCCCGCCCCCGCTAGGCTTTTCTTGATCATTCTTGTCTAACTGACTAGGCAGAGGCAACTCTAATTTCATGCTGAGGCTCACAGCACTGCACCATGAACACATGACAGATCTGCCTTTGCACGCAAACTCTGCAGCTACGCCGAATCAGATGATCTGTTCTGTGGCGAGCCAATGAAGCCAGAGTAAAGGCAAAAAAGCCATGCGCAGCTATGTGAGAATGGACTCCACGAGCCACTGTGTGGATAGTGGACTCCACGAGCCATTGTGTGGATAGTGGACTCCGCGAGCCACTGTGTGGAGAGGGACACCTTTGCTATCCTTAGGTAAACTGTGCTTCTGAAATGACCATTCACTGCACGTTTCCAAACATGGTAGGAAAAAAAAAAGCTTCCTCTGTCTCCCATGTTTCAGTTCTGTTTGCTGCTATTAGTAAACACCCCAGAAATCCTTGGTTCCTTCTTCACACCGGCAGCCTCACAACAGCCCGTCTAACCTTTAACATGCCAACTCACATTAACAAAATGTGCTCTAAACTCAATAGAAAGGACTAAGCCAAGATTAGCAACTTTATCATCAAATGGGAGCACCTGCAGATTGAGTGCTAAACCAAGAGATGAGCTCACACTTCAACACTCACACGTGTGATGGATGATCCGTGCACTGAAACTCTTAACAGATTCATGTGAAACGCTCCAGAAAGAGCCAAGTGAGCAGAAAGAAGATGAGGTGCTGAGACGCTACAGCTGGGTGGCAGGTGCCTGACCCACTGTGTGGCTGGAGAGGTCGTGTGCAAACTCCCTTAAGATGCTCAGAAATAACTACACTATTTCAAAGTGAGTAAGGGTATCGGACAGACTTCACAGCCATAAAGAGTTTCATGAAACAAGTTTAAGTACCTGGTTTTCCTGTCTACAGCACAGTTGTTAGTTGCCATGTGGGTGCTGGGAATCCAACCCAGGTCCTCTGCAAGAACAGCTAGTGCTCTTAACCTCTGAGCCATCTCTCCAGCCCCTAGCAGCTAGTTTTGCAAAGAGCTTTTTTATACACCAGAGATACCCTTAATTCCACTGCTTGCTCCTCAAGAATTCACTGTAAACCCACAAGTCGTGCTGGTGTCAGATGACAAGGGAAAGAGACTGTGAATTAATGCCCTGGTAAATCTCCATCGTGACTCCTCCCTGCTGAGGTCTGGATGTGCAGTGGCCCCTAAGGGGTAGCTATGTCAAAGGCTTAGTCGCCAGCAGATGGGCTTTGGGGAAGATCATGGGCAATGAAGCCAGAGCCTTCACCAGTGGATGAATTCACCAGTGGGTAAATCCACATGATGACATTACTGAGATATGATGGGATTAAGAGCTGGGGCCTAGTTGAAAGCTAACAGGCTGTGCCGTGAAGGACATATCCTGTCCCCTGTCAGTCTGCTGACCCTGAGCCAACACCCCTGAAATAGCAGAACTGAATCTCTCCTCCAAATGAAAGCCCTTCTCAGGCGTGCATCACAGCAACTAAAGTGCACAGCCTATTAGCTGTGCACTTTACATGTGGTAACTGAATACCACATGTGCATGTACAATTCTTGATGTTTTTAAGAAGCTTGGACACACACACCCTCTAACACTGAAGTTGAGGCACAATGAACGAATACAATCATCTATGCATGTGTGTAGAACAGTGGGAACCAGGGCCTGTGAAATAAAACTGAACAAGCCATCCTGTTTCATCACCTCAGTGAATGAAACAGTCAAAGAGAGCTTGGGTAGTGAAGTTCTGTGGCAATCAGGTGAAGGCATGGAAGCAGTCTGATCAGGTCACGATTCCTAGCCGAAACACTGTACTCTGACCAACAAGAAGCTAGTCCTATGGGACACTGGCCTCATGCTTGCTTGCACAAGCCATTCCGAGGCCCCACTACAGATTCCTAGAACGATGGGGGGAGTACTTAATGTATGTCCTAAGACCACCAAATCACAGAATGGCGTACACAGAACTGCAACTTGAATTCTAGAAGATACATGTTCTCTAATACAATACCCACAATCCAAGTCAGTACCTGTGAAGGAGCAACATAATATTTCACAAGCATCAAGTGATAACTGAGGTTTCCAGGTCAGACGTAATCTAGCTCAAGTTCAAAGTCCTGGGTAAGTGGAAAATTGAGTACTCCTAACCAAGCCTGCTCAATTAATGATGGTATTACCTGTCACCCAGGCCTGCGCAGTTAATGACAGTATTACCTGTCTACATTACGTGATAAAATTTAAAGGCATGCAAACATTTTATGTAATCATATTTAAAATCTACACTAATCAATAAAGCCGACCACATCAGTGTGAAGAGTGGCACGCAGGTTTAGGGAGGAAGCCCATCTAATACAGCCTGCTTATGACAGAGTCTGAAAATCTGCTGAGTCCCAAGTGAAAGGCCCTTCTGTTGAGCTCAGAGATAAGGAAATCCACCATATACGCTGTACTGCAAAGGCCTTAGTAATACACTCAATCATGAGCAGCTGCCCAACTACTTAAAAAGGGAGGCGCTAAAATTTAGAGAGTAAAGTTAAATACAGTGAAACCACTTGGCCTTGCTTTTAGCCATTTGGAACTTAACAGAAAGGTGGACTAAGAGTGGGCGTCAGGAAGGAACCACACAAGCTCAGTCTTTGGTCTAACTGCTATTCACTGAAGAAAAGATCACTGATGACATTTGACAATCATTTCTGATTTCACACTGGAATCAGCACACTCTGGGTCACAAGACAATCCCATGACAACCAGGGGCCCACTCAGCACCGCAGCCCAAATGTGCCCAGCTCCACACAAATTCAAACTTGACTGCACTGGGTTGGATTTCCTTATAAGACAAAACATCTTGAGCCTACGCTAGGCGGCAGCTACTAAGGACAAGAAAACCTGTTACTTGTTAAATTCAAAACTAATTCTTAACACACCCACCTTATGATATCCATTGCCTGGTAAAGGATTTCGGACTGATCGACTCCAAGGACTTTCTTTGCCCCCGCTTTAGCGGCGAACATTGAGAGGATTCCAGTTCCACACCCAACATCCAAAACCACCTGGTAGAGGAAGAAACACATTACTGAAAGGTGCTCTGCTCCAAGTCCACTCTTGGGGTAGTGCTTCTGGTTAGGGATAAATTCTAATGGGGCTGGAGAGATGGCTCATGGGTAAGAGCATGGGCTGCTCTTGCAGAAGACCCGAGTTTGGTTCCCACCACCCTCATGGCAGCTAACACCACCAATTCCAGGGGATCCCATGCCCGTCTGGCCACCAACGAAACTGTATGCACATGGTGTACCTACACACATGCAGGCAGAACACTCATACACATAAAATAAAAATAAAAATCTTTTAATCTAATAACTCTCTTCATCAAATATGGCAATTTGTATATGGGGAAACAACACATTATGAGCTAAACTAGCAACAGCACAGCTGGCCACAGTCTAGGGCAGTCAGGCACAACAATACTGAATTAAGAGACACTTTACAAAAACCAAGTAATTTCTATGGACCTCATAGAGAAATGCTTAACTTTCCTATTCTAGTTTAGACTCCACAATTCTGATCTGACTGGTATGTTTTTCCAGTTTGAGTAGAAAGAACTGGAGTAGATCCAATACAATTTAAAAATAGTTATAAAGGCACGAGCACATGGAATGTGAAAAGAGACGGGAGGGGGGTTAACACATGAGACACGAAGGGAAAAGGAGATGGGGGGTAGTTACAAGAGGGAAGGGTGTGGGAGACTCAGTTGGAGAACCTACTAAACACACTTTGCTTGAAAATATCATCCTTCAGTCCTAGCACTTGGGAGGCAGATGGATCTCTGTGGGTTCAAGGTCAGCCTGGTCTACAAAGCAAGTTCAAGGCCAGTTGGGGCTAAGACCAAAAAAACAGAAAGGAAGAAAAAATGTCATCTAACACCTTATATGTACAAAAATTACTTGGAGGTAAACTATTCCGAAATTATTATAAAAACTGCTATGTTTTAAATCTTTCACTATCGATGAAACCCCCAAAAGATACATATTTCCCCCAAGTTTGCACCACTCAGCGTCCATCTACCCCAGCTATTTCACAAGCATGACTAAGCAGCTGGGGTAACAAAAGACTGAGCAGACGCCAGCTGAGGGATGCACGCCTTTAAATCTCAGCTAGAACAGACAAGGATCAGAGAACTGAGACTTGCCAAGACCTGGGGTCATAACCAAAGTCATGTCTCCAGGGAGGCCCAGTGGGCAGCCGGAGGGGGCAATTTCCTCAAAGGTGAGACTAAGGATGACACTTGACCTTCAGGGTGTGTCAACATGACATCAGAGAACAGCATGTTTCTGTTCTCCTGAGGTCAGCAACATTCTGCGTAATCGGGGTCATGTGATTTTATGTGAACTATGTTCTTGCATCGTTCCCCTCTTGGCTGCTGAGTTACTTACTAGCTCTCTTCTTTTCAATGTAACCAAGTCCTGTCAGAGTCCCTAGGGTCAGGGATGTGGTACAGAGGGGAAAGTGCAAAACCCCGAGTTCCACCCAGCAAACTCAAAACAAAAATCTGCTAAGTCAAGGCCATTAATTCTAATGACTTGAATGTCTAATTCCTCCATATAGGGAACCAACAACAATTTAATGTCCAAAAATCCAAGTTGGGGGCCAAAGAGTCTACTTAAGTTTAATGCAGAGCATGGGAGACCTCAATACTGAAATTCCCATCCCAGTGTGGTGATGGCCTCCCCCCAGCTGCATAGATGGAGCCCCCTTCTGTTAACCTTCTACCCTCTGTACACGCTAGTGCCCCGAGACCAGCAGGCCACAGATTAGGGCAGAACTGTGTTCAAATGGCCAGAAGGTGCAGGAAGCAGAATCCGGACTGCCAGGTGAGGGTCCAACGGCCTCCCAGTCCTCCTTCTATGATGGACTGTCTGGCCTCTGGGCTCCCTCACAAGCAGCCACAGCTGCTCTGATGAAGATGGCCACTATGCTCAGAGGACAGCACCCTAGGACACTGTGGGCCTTCTCTCAGGTTTTCTGTTGGGTTTTTTGGTTTTCGTTTCGACAGTTGCTCTTTTCCTACGTAGACATTCTTTAGTTAAACTTACAGATCTTTTCTGCTGTGAACTGGAGAAGGATTACAACTGGATAGGCCTCCTAAGTCTAGCCTACCTCATCTTCATCCATTTCCTTCCTGCATTTACAGCCCCACGCTGTAGTCAACCACCCTACAGGACAGCATGTGCTGACAGGTACTGAACCGGTTCTGCTAGTCGGCAAGCAGCCTACCGGCCACCCCCTTACAGCCGCTCTCCTACTGATGGGGCATGAATCCCCAGCCACCAGCAAAGCTTCTAGATGCACCTTAGTCCATTTCTGGATTTTAATGCTGCCTTTAATGTATGTGTTCCTACATTTTGTACATTGGTAGAAACTTCATAAAATGCCTTAGTGTCCAACAAGGTTGCTTGGCCTTCACTGCAGGTGTTTCCACACTGTCCACAGATATTCTCCTCTGTTTGTTTTTCCATGAACAGAAGAATCTGCAAGTCCGGGTTTAACAAGTCATAGAACATTTAGAGAGGTTGGTTTAAAATTAGAGAAAATAAACCTTCTAAGCCCAGTGTGACTTCCAGTTCCTTTACATCGCCTTTATGGACTGGAGATGGTCTTGTCATTTTACTTTTCTGACTAGAGATGATCGGGGTGCCACCCTGCCCGGCTAGGCATTTTACTATTTCCTTTTGTTCTGGTTTTAGGTTTGTAAATATTCTTAACTTGTTTTTGATTTTATGTGTATGAGTATTTTGCTTGCGTATATTTAAGTATACTCCATGCATGCTCAAAGAAGCCAGAAGAGGGTGTCGGAGCCCTTGGAACTGCAGTTACAGATGGCTGATAGCCACGCCACCATGTGGGTGCTGGGAACCAAACCCAGGTGCCCTGCAAGAGCAGCCAGTGCTCTTAACTGCTTCTCTCCAGCCCCCAGTTTTAGTTTTCAAAAGTCTCACTATGTCAACTACACAGCCCTGAAACTAGTAATCCTGCTGCAGCATCCTGAGTACTGGGCTCACAGGCCTGCACACTATGCCTGCCTTAGGCAAGTGTTTATCAATCGTCACGCAAGTCCTGCACATGACTTGTTCTATACATCTTACCTTTAGCGTCATTCACCACTAGAAGAAAAGTCCTTCCTTCCACCATCTAGAAAATACAACGCGCTAGCTCGACTCCGAAGAGGACGTCTCAGCAGCCAGGCTCCCAGAAGCTGATCTGAGGCCCCTCTGTTCCTGCACAGGTCCATCTGGGACTCGACACATTTTAGTATGATCTTTATAAACACTAACAACTTTCTACACCTCTGCAAACACAGCTGTGTATAGCCCCGAGTAAAACGCAGTACCCAGAGCAGAGAGGGCAGTGATCTCACAGTGCACGCAGCGTGTGCACGTGATCAGGCCATAGAACCTCATCCCGAAAAACAGCACAGCCCCGTGACACGGTGAGTGACACATACGGCACCACAGCATGTCGGGTTCCCACAAGGAAGACTTTCTTTTTTGTGGGGACTGAACCCATAGCTGCTTCCCAAACGCTCACTGACATAAAATTTACAAAACTAAATAAAAGGCCAGGTATGAAGCAGGAAGCCTGATCACAGGGCTTTGGCAATGGTGCCTGAGGACCTAGTGCTCACACCCCGCCTGGACGCAGTGCTCACGGGGCTCACACCCTGCCTAGGAAGGACAGGCCACATCAACGCCATCTTGGAATGCCCTTCATGACCCAGGGAGGCCACTGCCAAGAATTCAGCTGCATTCTTTTGGTTTCATGCAGTGCTAGGGATCAATCAGGGGGTCTGTATATACTAGTCAAGTACTCTACTACCGGGCTACTCCCTGACCTCTGATACAGGGTCTTGCTAGGTAGCATAGACTGGCACTGAATCTGCCTTAGTCTACTGCATGTTAGGATTACAGGTGCATGGCGCCCTTCGTGAATTGAATATAAATTGTGTGTACACACACACTCACGCACTTCTACTATAAAACACTGAAACAAAGGATGGACATTCTTACACTGGACTCCTGGACAACTGTACCAGTGAGAAGACACGTGGCCTCAGCTGTCTTTAGGGAAGTACAAGGAATGCTCACAGCACCAGAGGACTGGACAGAAAACAAGACAGCCCACGTTTGCAAGGATGCAGAAAAAGTGCACCTTGTGCATGGCTGGGACTGTAAGGCAGTACACCCACTTTTGAAAACATCAGAGCAGCTCTTCGAGGAGTAAAACGGGGAATTACCACAGATGTAGCAACTCCACCCCAAACAAGTAGGTTCTCATAGAGACATGTCAAGTTTGATGCTGACAGCGGCAATATTCACGATACAAAACGTGTTTAGCAACTTGAGCCCCCAGGTGGGTGAGAGAGCAGCAGGGTGTTCATAAACACAATGAAGTGCTACTCAGCCTGAAAAAGGAAGCGAGGTCTGAGACACACTCCTGAATGAAGAGCTTTGGGGCCATTACTGCTACGTGAAGGGAGTCCTGGGACGAGACATGCAGCCTTCTGCAACTACAGCTGGAGGACAGCCCCAGAAAGGAGGCCACTTCCTGGTGATGGTGGGCGGACCCAGAATGAAGGCCACTTCCTGGTACGGAGGGTGGCCCCAGAGTGAAGGCCACTTCCTGGCGACTTCGGATTGAAGCAAGAACCCCAGACATCTCCGTGTAGCATCTCACATCTTCCCCACTTTCTGAAGAGCGGAACGGAAGTGTACCACACCACCCAGGCTCCTCTGATGGAGCAGTGAAGGAGGCTGTACAAGGGCGCCACAAAGGTGGTCCAGGTTCACAGGAACAAATACGTCGTCATGTACTTCAAGCGGGTGCAGTGGAAACAGGCTAAGGCACAACCATGTGTTGGTCACCAGCAAGGTGGCAGTCACCTGGCTAAAACTGGACAAGGATGCTGGAACAGAAAACCAAGTCTCGCCAAGCAGGAAGGGAAAAGGGTAAACATAGGAAGAAACGGGAGATGTGGAATGCAGAGATCTCACACACA